GGGGAGGGGTGCAGGAAATCTTCCCACTGGCCCCCGGCTTCCCAGCTGCCCCCCGCATGTGCTGGCAGCCGGCTGTCCCATTCTGCTTTGTTTGCAGGGTTGGCTGCCAGAGGTAGGCCTGGCAAGTAGCGGGGGGAGGGAAGCGCCATGTTTCTCTGTGCTCTGTGGAATTGTGCCTTTCGGTGCCTGTCCTACAGGAGCTGGCAGGCTCTGTAAATACCCCCTTAATCACGAAGCTGACATCCCGTTCTCAGTGGAGTGACTGTAATGCTAGTGTACGGCTACGTAACACCCTGCCCAGAGAGCTGTCGGCACCGGTGGCAGCAGTACCCTTTCATCTGCAGGCCTCCGTGGGTGTGCGGCTGGAACCATCTGCTGCCTCCTTAACCAGCAGCCTGCTACCCCGGCCACAGCAGGGACGAGACGCGATCTTGGCCTGCAGCTCCAATTGCCTGTGGCTGTAGCTTCTTCATTTCCCTTTAGGACAGGAAGTGGATCTGGTGTTCCAGGTGCTTTGTGTGCCTGAGCTGTTAAAGGAATACAGACCGTCTCTGTGCAATGCACAGCCGGGCAAGGAACAATTGTTCCTTGGAAGGCATGTCTTAAAGCCTCTAGGGAGCGGGAGGAAGAGGTACAGATTTTAAGGCCAGATATGGTCACCCAGACAGAGCCCCTCACCTTGTGATTCCCAAACCAAATCCCTGAGACCCATCCTGGAGCAATCCAAGTGTCCGAAGGGTTCCCAGTTAAAAGGAAGCCGAGGTGCCGCGGAGCTTTCTGTTCTGATCTGCCAGGTGCTTGCATGTACCACTAGTCACGCACGCTTCAGGAACTGGAGTCACAGGCTATAAAAAGACTGCACCATCAGAGAGCTTGTCAAGCCCTGGCTTGTGTCAGGAATGGTTGGCGCTTGTAAGAGGGTTGTTTCTCGTTCCCGTTGATCGCTCTGCCGCAGCAGTGCTCTGGCTGGGGAGTCCCGCTCTAGCTGCTGGCTGCTGCGCTGTGGGATCGCAGAGGGTTATTGCAGGAGATGAACTGAACCTTTTTTCTTTATGTATAAAAAAAGGGAGTATTTGTGCTCACGTTTTGCATAAAACCGTCATTAAAAATTCCTTTTCCCAGGCGAATGGGTGTGCACCGGTGACTCAGGAGGGTACTGAGAAATGGCGCCTGTTGTTGAGTTTGTGGTGATGTCTATTTTATGGCCTTGTGTAGTGCCTGCCCTGGCAGCGGAGCGCAAAGGGGCAGGAATGGATCCCTGGTGCGGACGCAGCGGAGAGACTGTGTCGCTGGGCAGAGCTGGTGCCCGGGCGTCTGAGCCCCGCAGGCTCCGTTATTAGAAACTTCTGTCCTTCCCCATCTGCCCTGCACGGAGCGGGTGTGGGCTGCTGCTCAGGACGGAAGCGGCAGGGTTTCAGGCTGGCTGTGCCCGGGGTGAAACGAGGACACGCTATGTAGGGTAATTGAGAATCGAGGTTTCTGAGTGTGGCTCTCCATCCTGGAGGCTGCTCTGAATGCTTCCTGCACAGGGATCGGCAGGAAAATAGACCCAGAGCCATCGAGTTGCTCCCTGAAACAGGTTTTGTTCCAGGACCAAGGCCCACCCGCAGGCCGAGGTTCCCTGTGTCAGGAGGTTTTGTGGGATGTTCGCGGCTGGCGCAGCCGCGGCCCCGCAAACGTGGTTACGTAAGTGACGTCCGCGGAAAGCCCTCCCAGCTGGCACTTAGCCTGGTGTGTTGGTTTGTGCCTCCGCGTCACTCGTGCCGTTGGCCCAGGGTGCTGCAGGGAAGTGTGGCTGCGGGAGGTTCAGATCGATGGGTGTCTGCGCCCTTTGGCACGTAGCTAGATTAAAAACAAGCCGCGGGGGCGAGGGAGAGCCGTCCGGCTGTGCTACATCCTTTGTCTGGGGACGGAATGGGAGGCAGCATTCTCTAGTGGCTAGAGCACTGCGCTCTGCCATTGCCATGGGACCATGTCCTTTCCCCGGCTGTGCCCGCGACGGGAGCGTTGTGGGGTCTGTGGATGGAAAGAGCGGGGGCGCCGGCGTCCTTTTCTCCACTCGGGCCCTGGCAGCCGCACTTGAAACGCAGTGTGGTGTGTTGGCATTCCCTGGCTTTCCTTGACACGGCAGCCTGGGGTTTGCCGCTGCGAGAGTAACTCAAACCCGTCTCCTCACTTTCCTTCAGAGCCCCTTTTACGAAGCAGAGGGTGTTTTTCGGAGGGCTACAGATGCAGGGATCCGCGGCAAATGGAAAAAATCCCACGGAAGTCTAGTTCTTGGGACCTGCTCGGATTCGTCTCACTGACAGCAGAGCAGCGTGTGCGTCGGGGCCGGGCGCTTCTAAACACCACTCTCCTGGATCTCTGTCTAAGCCACTTACATGACCCCTCTTGCCCTAGATCTTGAGGCACTCACATGCCATCTTTCATCTGTCTACGGTCTTGCCTGCGTGGGGAGATTTACTGGCCTTATTAGGCAGCTGGAAATCTCTTTGTCCACGTACGAGAGTCCAGATGGGAAGTAATCGCTGTATAATTGTTCCAGGGTTTTGAAACCCCAGTCAAGCCGTTAACCACTTACACGGGCTGGGTAGGGGGCTGCTGCAGCCCAGGGGGCCACTGGTTAACCGGTGAGCCTCATCCAGTACGGGTTAACCAGCTAACCCGTAATTGTTAGCTGGTTAGCTCCTGCCAAGCCAGCGCCAGTCACACCTCACGCAAAGCCTCCCCGGCCGAGGGCTTGCATCTCCTGCGGGCCTGCTGGGACGCCCAATGGCTCCCAAAGGCCCCTGCCGGGGGAAGGGGAATCGTGGCTAGTGATGGCAAGAGAGCAGCCCCCGCCACGGCAGATCGTCCCCCAGAGAAATGGGCAGCGGTGACCCCAGATTGTTACTGGAACGCCGGTCAGGCTTCCTGAGTTTCTGGTCACCAGTTACACCGTTGCACAGAGGGTGCACCTGGGTGCAAGGTGGGGGAAGCCGCGAGCTCGGAGCGTGGCTGGGCTGGGTGTAGGCACGGGGGCTGGCCGGGCAGGCTTGGACCGGGGTTAGTGTGTGGGCGTGGCGAGATCGGCGCTGAGCCGCACCAGGGCCAAGAGCAGCGCTGCCGCCCACGAGCCTGGCGCTCCATTAGCAAGTCGGGGGGATGGCTCGGGAGTGCTGGGCAGTGTCCAAGAACTGATTTCATCAGCTGCCCGGGAAACGTAACCCAGCTTCCCCTGCCGGGAGCTGCCCCATGGCCCCTCTGGGCCTCGCGGCTCTTCCGGGCGGAGCGCTTGGCCACAGCTACGCGCACTTGTGTTTTATCCTGCCCCGGCCCCTCTGTCCTTCCTGGGCTCCCTGCGCCGGTGCCGGCAGCCTTTCCAGGCAGCCAAGAACTGATTTCATCAGCTGCCCGGGAAACGTAACCCAGCTTCCCCTGCCGGGAGCTGCCCCATGGCCCCTCTGGGCCTCGCGGCTCTTCCGGGCGGAGCGCTTGGCCACAGCTACGCGCACTTGTGTTTTATCCTGCCCCGGCCCCTCTGTCCTTCCTGGGCTCCCTGCGCCGGTGCCGGCAGCCTTTCCAGGCAGCCCCCAGCCGGGACCACGTTGAGAGCTGGGCCGGGCAGGGCGCAGCGGT